GAGAGAGAGAGAGAGAGAGAGAGAGAGAGAGAGAGAGAGAGAGAGAGAGAGAGAGAGAGAGACGGGGGAGCAGGAGAGAGGGAGAGTGTGCTCGTGGGAAGGGATGGGGCGTGTTTCGTTCAGGGATTCGGTCCGCTTGGCTGCCGCGGCCGGGCCGGAGCCCGCGCAGGAAACATGGGGGGCGGGTTGATCCTTGTTGCGGCTTGTCCTGCAGACCGCCGCCGCCCCGTCCCCGCGCTGGCCGGCCCTCTCCGGGCCCCCGGACCCCTCCCGGGCCGTGCTGTAGTGCGTGATGTTGCCGTGGCGGGCGGTGGGCGGTGGTCTGGGGCTGCCTGGCGTCTGGATCCCTGCATTTTGCTGCTATGTGTAGTCTCCTCTGGTCGGAGTTTAGCTTACGCTTCCCCCCAAAATAAAACTCTGAGTCACTGTAATACTCTTAAAAAAAAAAATTGTTACGGGAAAATTTTCCATTAAAAAGTTGTAAAATAACAATTTGAAATTGTAAATTTACAAGCACTCCCTATCGACTTGGAATTGACCGACGAGCAAGAATGGGCTGTCGTAAATTTACGAAATATTTTGTAAATCAAAACTACAACAAATGTCGTAAATTTACGGGGATATTTTTCACAGTGTGTGACCGTTGGAAACCCACTCGAATCATCCTTATGCCATCCGCCATAGTCTTTCAGGGAGGAAACGTCGCCGTCGCACTACGCCGCGGCGAGAGGTCCCGCCAGCCGCTCCACCGCTTGCGACGCGTCGCACCCCCGACCCCGACTGCTTTCAGGGAGTCTGACCTATATTCTCTTCTCATGAAGGCTGCGCAGCGAGCGAGCAAGCTGCTACTGCTCTCTCTCTCTCTCTCTCTCTCTCTCTCTCTCTCTCTCTCTCTCTCTCCCTCTTACACACACACCCAGCCAAATACACTCACCAGCACACACACACAGAGACTTTAGCATGGCTGAGGTTTGAGCAGGCCGCGCACACGATGCGGTGATTTTTTCCCCCTCTTCGTCCTGCTTTTTTTTTTCGTTTTTTTATTATTATTTTGGTTGCGGAGAACAAAAGCACACGCCAGCGAGCGAGAGAGAGAGAGAGAGAGCCGCGCTGCGCGCACTCAAACCCTCTCACGTACCGATTCTTTGGTGGCGCGCCGCTCGGCACAAACTCGCCCGCCAGCAGCCTACTCACCTTGCTCTTGCAGCTGCCACGCCCCCCGCCACGCCCCGCCACGCCCC